ATAATAATAATAATAATAATAATAATAATAATAATAATAATAAGGGGGTGTATCCTCTGGAATTTTTCTATCAACCAAGATCGAAAGAGTCATTATTATCAAAGATAGAAAAGAAAAAAAAATGAACGCTGAATGACATAGGCATCCCTAGTAACGAAAACGTCTCTGGGAAGGTTATTGAAAATAATAAGCAAAACAAAATTCTGGAGGCGAATAAAGAAAAAAAAATGTAGCATTTAAAAATTTCTTGTTGTGTTTGAAGCTTTCGGTTTTGATACGGAAATGAACTCAGGAACAAAAATCCTGGTGCACCGTCTCTCCAGGAAAAAAAAAGACATATATTCTGCGAAACGTTTTGTCTATATAAGATTTTTTTTTGTATAATTAATTATAAATAACAAAAAATCCCATCCTTCGTTTTGTCTAGGTCATTGGTTATTATCCACGATGGGATTATAAAACAAATGCAGGATAGAAACAAAAAGAAATTTAAACAAATAGATAGATAGATAAATAGATAGATAGATATGAGTGGAATGAAATAACAGGAAAATTTGCAATATGAGCTCTGGTAAAAAAATGTAATTGAGACATTAACTTTATAAGTTCCAAAAATGAATACACTGATGAGGACAGATTGCTCAGTGGATAAAAGCGTTGGTTGGATCCATCGATCCAAAGAGTTGTGAGTCCAATACCTGGTTAATGCAGAGGTGAACAAAAACTTTTGAGATTTGAGTTAAAGGGGGATAACTGAGACATCCGGAAGAGGCACGACACGTGGAACTAGAACAATCTACCCCAGTGGGCGAAATAAAGTTTGAAATGCCAATCACGTGAAGAAGGCCGGGGGCATACAACAACCGAAACGTCGGGAATATGGCAACAAAGATGAGGACAATAGTCCAAAGAATGTAAATAGTGAAAATAATTGCAATACCTCATCTCAGAAATATAGACAGATATAGAATTAGATATGAACAGATTGAGATAGACAGATGGATATGAAAACAAGGATAGATAGATAGATAGATAGATAGATAGATAGATAGATAGATAGATAGATAGATAGATAGATGAAAATTGGCACAGATCGATAGGAAAGTAGATACATATAGATAGATCTAAATACTGAAATAGTTTTTAAGTCTTGCAATAATCTTTCGACTCTATTGAACGTGGGGTTCCCACTCACATATTAAATATCGTTCAGTTCGTGTGTTGAGATGAATGTTTTAAAATTTCGTGTCGTGTCTTTGAAATCAATAATCATGACTATAATTGTAATATTGTTTGTTGCGTATAATTGAAATTCATGTGATTTTCCGCTTCATTTAGAAAAAAAAAATGTAATTAAACTTCAACTGTCATTCTTGTGACGTTTATACGGAAAGGCGCTGAATATTATCGCTTCTAACCAAGAAAGCCTTCCCTGATGTTTGATCTTATTTTGAGAAGTAGGTCGGCTTAAACTCTTTTTTTTACCACTCCTCGTATATATTAGGCTGTTCGAAAATAAATTATGAATTTCACAGCTATGAATTATGAATCAACCAACCAAGGTGAAATTAGTTGGATTACTATGTCGTCTCTTCTAATTAACTTAATTAATTTATAGTGAATTTTAGAGTGGGAATCCTTGTAAAGAGGGTATCTGAGAACCGAACTGGTGTTCGGAAAGTCATTACGTATTCCGCCAGTATGAGAAACAAAGTTGTTATGGTACGAAAATTAGAATTAGTTTATTTACACTGTTGATATTCGAACTATTGCCCTCATATTTGTAGATGTTATGATAACGTTCCGGACGTTGTGCTCTCCTTCTTTCCTCAGTTATATATTGATCTGAAAATAAATACAGATGAACTGTTCAAGTTTCACTGCTTATTTCTTCGGATATCGTCTAGTTCTTAGTTTTACTTAGTAATTTTCAGTTATTCTTTTTGGATTGTATTAAGCTTGGCGCCTTTTTTTCATCATGCTATGTTGTATATAAGTCGGGGGAACATGTGTAAAAAATATTGTTACGAAGACTTTTAAAAAAAAAATTTCCAAAATAATTTCCTTCATTTGTTAATCAGTCCTGAAAGTTTCATTAAAATCCGACAAATATTTGATTTTTGCAAGATTTTGTAAATCAGTGTTTTTCGCCTGAAAAAAAAAAAGCCGCTCAAACACTAATCGTAATACGTCGATTGCTGACGCAAAAAAAAAAAGAAAAGATTTTTAAGCAAAATTTCGAACGCGGTAGAAAGGATTAAAAAATAAAATAAAATAATAAAAAATACTATATATATATATATAGGATTAATAAAAATATAAAATTTGTCACTTAGTTGATTGATGTTATATTTAGCACCCCGACTCCAGAGTTTCGGAGACGAACCATTGTGTAATCGTGCGGTCCACTCGTCAGGAGGTAACGACAATTGTCTGTCGATTTTGTCATTTTCTTTACTTTTATATTGTTAAAAATAATTTATGTACTTTTTATTGGTGTTAGTTTGATTTTTTCTTTTTTGTGTGTGTACCTGTGTGTAAGTGTAGGTACGCGTGTTTATGTGTATGTATGTATCTGTGTGTGTATACCTGTACGTGTCTGTATGCGCATATAATATCTTGGTTCTTCTTTTGAATAAAAACTTACAAAATAATCCTTATTCAGAATATTCAACGAAGCATGAATAAAAGACCATTGTTGGACATCTCTTTCTCTCTCTCTCTCTCTCTCTCTATATATATATATATATATATATATATATATATATATATTAATAAATGTACAGATTATCACACATCTGTTTAGGGATTAAATGTATATTTAATAATATATAATAATACCTCTGTTATATTACATTGAGCAGTGTTTTATTAACACCACCACTATATGTGCATATGTGCGATATATATATATATATATATATATATATATATATATATATATATATATATATATATATATATATATATAGTTAGGTAATGAAATGTTTGGTAATCCGTATGGATAATCCCAAGGAGGATGTAATCCAGAAATGCATCTTTCATTAAATAATAGACAAGTTTTGTCTATTTATCTTAAGCAAAATCATGACATAACACATGACCACTACAAATATTCTTAAATGTCTATAATTGATAACAGAAGCCATTGGTTTATACCAACGGCTTCCCATGCTTCCTACTTCTTTAATTCCCTCTCGTGTGGTCATGTGTGACGTCATGAGATGTGGTGCGATTTTCGCTTCTAGCGTCTTATATGCACGTGTTTATCGTTGCTTAGAAACCATCTATGTAAACATTCACAGACTGTCATCACTGTCTTTCCATATATTGCTTAATATGTTGTAATTGACATCTTTGATAATGGCTGAAGTAAGTCGAAAGCTTAGATTGTATTAAAAAAAAATATGGATCAATATTGTGAATTTCTTTCTTCGTTCAACGATAATGTTATTAAACTTATCAGACGTTACGAAAAAAATTTACATAAAATAAATAGACAACAATTGTCTATATTATTTAATGAAACGTGTATGAATATATATATATATATATATATATATATATTCATACAATTGTCTATATTATTTAATGAAACGTGTATGAATATATATATATATATATATATATATATATGTATATTCATACACGTTTCATTAAATAATATAGACAATTGTTGTCTATTTATTTTATGTAAATTTATAAATAAATATAAATATATAAATTTATATATATATATATATATATATATATATATATATCAACCGAAAGCACTCGGAAGAAGTAACAGTATAAACATATTTTTCACACAGTCCTCAACATAGAAAAAAAAATTACGGACGGAAGGAAAATTTGCTAAAAACATTAAAAATATTGTTTGCTCGCCATATTTAATGAAACATACATAAAAGAAATCTTGCTGCCTTATTTAAGCATTAAAATGAATTATTTATGTAAAAAATTGAAATATATTTATCCTGATTCAAGGAAACACTGGAAAGCTCAAGAATTAACAACGACAGTGTAGGTCTAGAAAAACGGAAGTCAAAATGGTAACACTTGAAAAAAAAGAACACTTAAGGAGTGAGTGTAGGGTAAAAAAAAACGATGATGGGACAAGTGATCACGACATTCTCTGCGTGCGTTTCGGGAGGTCGTACGCACGCACACATACACTATGAAAAAAAAAGCTTGCACAAAAGAAAAGTGCATATAAAAGACGAAAGTTGAGATGCTGAGGGTAATATCAATCCGCTAAGAGACAAACCCTTGACTTGTATTAATTAATTATATATATATAGTTATCCACAGACAGACTGTTTCGCTGTATCACAGCTCATCAAGGTGGCTAGACATACAGTTACTTCAAGCCGGGATTGAAACCCGACCGAATTGGTATCAGTCAGAGATTCTACCCACAAGCTAATGTCGCACAGCAGAGCGGTAGACCAATTTTAAACGTTTTTACTCTACGAAAAACGTCAGAAGATAGGAGAGCCGTCTTCGAGTAGAAGAGCAGTGCATAAAGTCAACACCGAGAGGCTATAGTCTGTTTCATGTTAAACGCAATCGTCAGGCATATGAAGCAGATTATTATTTTACATTTACATACGCTCTAATTCTCAGATATTTAGCACTTTGACCCATAAATATGGAACAATATTTAATCATTCATATATATATATATATATATTCACATTTCGTATTGTATTTATGGATTATTTTCACGGCTTTTCAAAAGAGACCAAGTAATAGAAAGCTTGCACTATATCCGAGCAGTGTTCCCAATGTTCCGGTGACAACTGAGACCTTCTCCTTACTTTATATCTTCAGTTTTATGGTAATGCGAGATATTTATACGAATTTTTTACTCTCCTTTATATTATTGACCCATAAATTTTGCATAGCTTAAAAATATATTTTATCATATATATATATATATATATATATATATATGTGTGTGTGTGTGTGTGTGTGTGTGTGTGTGTGTGTGTGGTTTACGGTCAAATCACTGAAACGCCAGTTCTCGTTTGAACACCGAAGTTAAGCAGTGTCAATCGCGGTCAGTACTTAGACGGGGAAACCGCTTGGGAACGCCGGGTACTGTAATAACCTCCTACAATCTGAAATATATTCCGGCTTTAAATAATCCAAAAATGGGTTTATAAGCCGTAAAAAACGCAAACCAATAATCTTATCTCTGGTCTCCACACACACACACACACACACACACACACACACACACACACACACACACACACACACACACACACACACACACACACATATATATATATATATATATATATATAGCAACAGGCGACATTATTTACTAAAATGCATTACCGCAAAAGAGACACTGAAAAGTAAATCACAACATACAACATATTCAAAATGTCATAGAGTATATACCCCAAAAATGTTTGAGATTTCCCATACCATTGCATGATGACCAGGACTGTGCTGTTTAAAACTCCAGCAAATTTATTTCATCTCTCCATTTGCTTTCTGATCTTCTCCGACCGACTGTGCTTGTTATCCATTTAACCAGCGTTTTTTTACTCCATCTGCAATCATTCATTTAATCACTTCTCTGATATGTCTAATCTTTCGTTCTGTTCCATCGGCCATGTTGACCTCTTTCTTTCTCAGAGTTATCGTCCCTGGCGTTACTCTTTCCATTGATCTTTACAAAAGATTGGGTTTGTTTTCAAGGGACTTTCTTAATTGACTTTCACACCGATATAAACCACACCCACACACGTGTATGCTCATGCGAGTGTGTTTCCTTTTTATTTCTTTTCATCCAGTGAAGTTGATTAATTTTTTACCCCTTGATCCTAATCGTATGATGGCTGCTATTTTGACGTGGAACTCGGAATTACGATTATGGGTCGACATCTCTGGATGCATTACTGGTTGCTATTTGTATAGTTATATCTTGAGTTAGTTTCCTATTTTGTGTTCCTTTATCGGATTTGATAAGGACGATTCCTGTTTCATTTGTCAGACTTCGTAGAGGTTAGAATCTCTTTTTGTGTTCTCCCCTTCCGTTTTAGCTACTTTATTCTATCTCTCTTTCTCTGTCTTTCTTTCTATCTGTCATTCTCTCTCGTATATAATACCGAGCGTAACAGCAAAATTGTCCAAATCGTGTAACAGCAAACTTGTCCAATTGTTAGATTAAGCTCTGAACCGTTGTATCTTAGAAATGATTAAATACATCTTACTAGAATTCTCCGAGGTTTTTATAACACTATTGACATCTACTTTGAGCATTAAGAATGTATAATTAGGCTCCTTGTACCGGATAAACGGCATCTTTCAATTTTTTTTTTTTAAAATAGCAGCTGGGAGATTCATGAGTCCCAGAATTCCCTCCTTGGTCACTTTGACAGTTTTATTGATTGTTGGGAAGTGGGTGTGTGTGTTAAGTGTATGCTATCTTTTACATTTTGGGGTGTTTGTGTGTGTAATGTGTGTATGTGTATATATTTGGGTGAATGTGTGTATGTGGGAGGCCTCAACACCTCTGCAATCATGTCTGTCTAGTGTGTTCGAGAAATGTGGTGGGTGATTTGTAGGAATATATATATATATATATATATATATATATATATATATATATATATATGTGTAACAGCAAAATTGTCCAATTGTTAGATTAAGCTCTGAATCGGGGTATCATAGAAATGTTTACATACATCTTACTCTCCGAGGATTTTATAACATTCTTGGAGTCTACATTGAGCAATAAGAATGCATAATTAATCTCCAAGCTTAACAGAAGAATCGTGAAGAAATCGATCATAAGCGAAAATGACATGTTCATCATTAATTAATCATAGCTAAGGATCGGAAGTTCATGAAGGATTGAAATGAAGTTCAAACATATATATATATATATATATATATATATATATTATTTTAGGACCATTTTCCAACTTATTCAAGTTAAACTTCTCCGTCTAACGTTCTTTCTGTCCTGGAATAACGAGGTGCATTACAGGTTTCCCGTACGATTTCATTTTCAACTCTTTTTTCACTGCTCTTTGGAGTGTCATACCTGAAACTCCTCTCTCATGTACCAAACGTCTTATGAATTGAGTTGGATCTTTTCTAATTGATCTCTTTAGCTTTAAGTTGAAATGATGATCCCTCTTCCTGTTGTGACCTCCTGATCCAATTTTCTTCTCTACTGAGTCCTCTTTTTTAATCTAATTCACGCTTATCTTGATTGTTCTTCAATGGACTTTGAAGATGGAAGCCAAAGTGTGAATGTTGGTACCATTACTGAAGGCCTGAATGTTTTCTTTCCTCTTACCATTGTTTAGTTGGGAAGACAATGACGCTGACACAAAAGGATTTTAACTTTTTCTCTTTCTAGCTAAATAACTTAAAAAGGATTTTTTCAGTGATTCTCTCGACAAATTGTATCAAGATGACTGAACGTCTTATTTAAAAAACCTGGAAAAAAGAAACTCAATTAGTTTTGTGGAG